AAATAAATAATATCAAGAGTGCATATGGATAAATGACAGGAAGAACAAATCTTCCATATAGAAGAATTCCAAATAATACACATAGATACTCCCTTCCAGGAGGTGGAGCCAAATCCCCACTCACCTTAAGTTAAGGGCTGGACTTTGAAAAAAGGGGGAAAAAAAAAATGTTACTTTCCAGTGGAGAAACCTAGCAGACAGCACCTTCACCATGAAGGCTAACATCACCCATGATGTCATGTGGGGATCATCTTCCCCGAGGATGCAACAAGAAGGGCACTTTATCTGTGGTCTTCCTCACTAAAACCTGGTACCCTAATGCAATCGTGAGAAAAACAAATCCAAACTGGGAACATTATACAACATGCTGCCACACACCTCAAGTGTCAAGGTCATGAAAAACAAAGAGAAGACTGAGAATCCACTGCAGACCGCAAGAGACCAAGGAGGAATGCCAACTAAGTGCAATGTGGTATTCTGGACTGGATCTTTTAAGAAAAAAAAAAAAAAATTAATAGACAAACTGGTAATGGTAATATAAATGGTAAAATACCAATGCTGGTTTCTTGGTTGTGATAAACACACCACAGTAATGTTTAAGATTGTAACAGTAGGATAAACTGATACTGGGCACGGGGATGAGAATGCCTTTATACTACACCTTTAAAACTTCCTGTATCAAAAATCACAAGCTTTGCCTCAAGTGTTCACTGCTATTATTAGCCCAGGGGACACCTAACCTGCAGCCAAGACTGCAGGTCTCCCTTCCCTCCTCAGTAAAAATGTTCTGTACTAAGCGGCAGTACCTCTAATCCCAACTGGACATTTTCCTTAAGTCCTTTGGGTGAAAAGATGATCAGAAAATAAGTCTGTGGGGCGCCTGGGTGGCCCAGTCAGTTAAGCGTCCGACTTCGGCTCAGGTCGTGATCTCGCAGTTCATGGATTCAAGCCCTGCGTCGGGCTCTGGGCTGACAGTGCAGAGCCTGGAGCCTGTTTCGGATTCTGTGTCTCCCTCTCTCTCTGCCCCTCCCTTGCTCGTGCTGTGTCTCTCTCTCAAAAATAAACACTAAAAAAAAAAATAAAGTCTGAACAACTCAGCACAAACAATATTAAGTTCATATGAGTGCTTGTGAATAAAGGCATTTCAAGGTTTTGGAATCTAGTTCATTTGACCAGATATTTAAGTCTCAGTAGGATTTAAAAAACCAACCAACCAACAAACTTAAGTAAAAATAGATGGAAACACTTTAAAAGACAAAACCTAAGCAGTACGGGTGCCATAAGGTTTTTAAAAAAATGTACATTAAAAAAACCTTTTTTTTGATGTTTATTTATGCTTGAGAGACAGAGTACGAGCAGGGGAGGGGCAGAGAGAGAAGAAGACACAGAATCCAAAGCAGGCTCCAGGCTCCAAGCTGTCAGCACAGAGCCTGATGCAGGGCTCGAACTCATGGACTGCAAGATCATGACCTGAGCCAAAGTCGGACACTAGACCGACTGAGCCACCCAGGTGCCCCAAAAATGTAATTTTTAAAAAAAAGACCTTGGTTGTTTGACAAGTGACCAACAAACTGCTCGACATGTGTGAGTAAAAGGAGGTAATATTAAGATTTATAATGAAGAACCTTAATATCTAGTTTAAATTTGATATTTAGTACTAAATTAATATTTAAACCGAGACTATCTTTGGCAGACCAGGATGCATGGTCACCCTAACTGTAAATCTAATTTTGAGAAACACCGTTATATTCTTGTAGAGGAAATATTATGATGGCCTACTTACTAATTAAAATTTTAATAATACGGAATCCAAAAAGCAAGTCACACTTAGAATTTTATAAGACTGAAGACAGTGACAAAGTAAGGTACTTATTTGGTCTACAAAAACCTAAGCTTACTAATGATATCACCTATAAAAACAATGATGGTGTATACATAAAAAATGATGAGAAAGTAATAGGATTTTAACATAATTACTTCACATTGCAGATATGCCCATATGGACACAAATGATTAAAGTCTGGCTCCATATATGCAGATTTTAAATTTGGAGCCCTACTATGTACAAAAAATTGGAGAATGCCTATTCAAAACCAAAAATTAAAAAATCCAAAAAGATGGTAACTCACTAAAAAGCTTACCCAAAGAACATTTAAAATAGAAGACATTTCAGTTCAATATGGTAATCTGCAACTAATGACAGGTTGAACTTTCATTAATAAAACATCTATTTTCTCAATAAAGTATATAGATGTTTTATTAAATCTACACATAGGAAGGGCTAAGGTTTTTCTGAAACATTTACAACAGATAAAATTAGGGAAGCCTGAAAGATTTCAGTAAACACAACCCCTAGTGTTAATCTTCATTTTTATACACTCAAAAAAGTATATGTCTGACTAAAATCAAACCAAACCAAAAACTCCCCAAAATGAAAATTCTAGCACAAATAAATTATTCAGATTAAATTTAAATATGGTATTTTAGTTACAGTTTGGACTGTGGCTATCACTGTATTTTAGAAAAAGGCTTTGATATTAACTGCATTTTAAAACAGATGGAGCATATTCCATATACTAATAAAAATGAAACACAAGAATTCTTTTCGCCAAAATAGTAACATTGGAAATTCTATTTTATTCATGCTACATATAGCTCAAGTTTGCATTATGATGTGATTAACTAGCTATGCAGTAGCCTTAATATAAAAGCAAAGTGTTATCTCAAATTGGAGTCTGTGTCCTAAAGGACTTACCCATTCAATTTATTGACCTAAACATTTTTCATTTTAGTATTATTTTTACATTAATAGCCAATTACTTCTCCCTTCCAACAACTTACACTTACTCTACACAGGAAGGCTTCAGAATGACAACCTTTTCCTTTTCCCTTGTTAAGTATTCTGTACACCTAAAATAGACCAAACTTCAGGAAAAACAATGAGAAATGAAAGAAATCTCTTGCTGCCTTTAGAATGACTGAGCTCTACACTCAAGAGGCAACTCTGAGTTGAGAAATTAAAAAAAAAAAAATGGGAAGAGGCAATATAAAAATCTCCTAGAATGTAGAAGAAATTAGACTAGTTTAGTTTTCTTTAATATCTTCTTTAATAAGACATTACAGCACACAACTGAGCCCCAGTGTGTCAGTTAAACATGGGGATGTAGATCCATATGAAGTAGAATGAAACAAATTTAACCTTAACCCCATTCCTTTTGGCAATTAGTGGAAATACAGAATACAAACGGACCAATTCTCTCTCAGTGTCTCAGATTTTATAAAGTCTTTGAAGACACCATAAGTTTTATAATGAACTTTGCTGTGGTCTGTTAAAGAATCTTCAAATTAAATAATGAGGATGCTTAAGAATTTTAATTTTCCCCTTAGAGCAAATTTAACTCAAACATAATAAAGAAGGGATTGTAACTAATAATCCTTACGTGAAGTATGAGAATCAATGTCTTATGCAAGACCAATGCAGCTATTTTCCTATCACTGAGATATAAAGTTAAATATGGTGTCTTCAGCTGCTTATAAAAAAGGGTTAAATACAAGAACAAAAAGCTTTTATTCTGAATTACAGCCAGTAAAACAAATGAAAAAAAAAAAATAAAACCAAAACTTGTGAATGGTTTTTAAATGATTTGTTACTAAATGTAAACATACATATGGTCAAAGCACTTTTAAAAACCTTTAAATTGTAATTTAACCAGAACTTCTGTAATACCCACCACAAGCAATCAGGCAAATTCTAATGTTCTGGTAACCAACATATTAGGAAACAACAGATATTAAATCTGAACTTAGGAAATTACACGGAAAAAAAAGACTATTTTAAAGTAAGAACATAACAGAAGTTGCTAAGAAACTATCACCACTGAAGCTTTTCCTCGTAAATATCTTATTTTAAACTTACAGTGAAGTCAAACAAGGTGGGCAGAATACGCACAGCTATGAAACAAATGCAGTGATGAATTACAGCAGAAAGAGGGAACGCGCTTTGTGACCCACAGGATCAGATTCGTGGCTCTAAGCAATTACCAGTAAATAGTTGAGTTTTCTTCCTATTATATTAACTTCAAATTTTAAACCGAGTTAAAGCAGTTTCACTAGTAAAGCTAATAGCTGACAAAAGCAAATTAGAAGGACCCTAAAATTAGTCTTCCTTAACTGGATGGGATATACCTCATCCATCGGAACCAACCCACTTCCCCATCCTTAGAGCCAAAAGAATGTGGACATTGGCCTATTTTAATACTTTTCTAGTTCAGACAAATCATACTGTACAGTCTTTGATTTCAGGAACCAGTACAAAGTAAACTTCTAAAACCAACCATTCACTTACAAACGAAAGGAGGGAGAAGGTTCTGGGAATTAACCCAGCAGCAAGTCATTCCAATCTTCCTATTAAGGAAAACCACTCATAAAATTGGCCAAATTATTAATAAATTCCATCAAATTTGGAGTTTTAATCTCAAATTAATGAACCTGAAGAATTGTGAAAGAATCCATAGGTGTAATTTATATAAGATAGATCTTCACCAGTTCACATGTGATCCATCAGGTTTTGTATTAAACGAAAGCTGGATTATTTCGTTACGGCATATACTTCAGAACCTATTCTTTCAGAAGGGCTCACTGAAAATCCAACCACATTAGGAATTTGTCAGTTATCTAGAGGGTATACCTGGCTGGCAGCTACGGCCAGGTCACACAGCAGGCTAAAATATTCCAACCTCAAACACAGGAAATGATCAGAGGGGGAAATGACACATGGTGGTAATATACCAAGGCAGCAGGTAAGTCATTCTTCACCTAGACCAGCAGCTGCCAATAAAACTATGAAGGAGTCTGCTCCAATGTAACTAGCGAACCTGCCACTGAGCTGAGAAAGGGAGATAGGAACTGCGCTTGCAATTCTAGCTGACGAATTCATTAGATTTTTATAAGGCAAATAATGTGGAAGGTTAGAACAGAATTTCTAGAACCATTTATCCTGTGATGTTGTAAAATCAAAGTACTACTTTATTAAATGAGTTATTTTACACAATATGAACATCAATATAATTACAATTGTAAAAAAATTTTTTATAACAAGGATGGACTGATTTTCAGATTTCCAAATCAGAGTCAACTGTACATTTACACAGAATTGTCTTTGCATGAAGCCCAAAAGGGAACAGCATAAAAATGAGTGTTTCTGTAGCCCCTTTATTTTTGCTGATCAACAGTTTGTTAGAAAAGCAGCTGCAGGTTTGTTACCTAAGGTCTGAGACAGTAGAAGAGCCAAAGGTGTCGTGAATTCACCTATAAAACATAAATGGAATTTTCAGTGAATGTAAGCATTGCACAAATACCACTTATACGCATTTCAAATGTCTAAGAAAAATGCACCACATGCATAAGCTACCAAGTCATTCTGATGGATCTGTCAATGATTTTATACACAAATCTTTGATAAATTTACTTTAAAAAGGAAGTTATCTCACACCATCACCACCACTTAGGGAAAACAAAAACCACACAAAAAATGTAAACTGATTATTTTCAAGCCACTATCAAGTTTATACAGTGTAAGCCCACATTTTGCTACATATTTCAATGCATTCAGAAGCTCTGTTAAACACTCTAAAATACCTGCAACAAGGCACTCAGGAACATTGTTCTGCATCATTTCTGGGAGCAAGACCCTCAAATGCCTTTGTAATAGTTACTTTCTTTAGGCTGGTAAGTCTCTTCCATTCTTGGACCAGAGCTGGCCAGCATCACCTCAGCCCCCCATTTTGGGCTACAGTAGTAAAAACTTGGGTGTTTCAAAGGCATTGAGAAGATCTGGTTTGGGAAAATGGGTTTTTAACAGTTGTGAAGGTAAACACTAACTTAAAAAAGGGGAAGCAATAAAATCTCAGCTAGAAAAAAGGTAGACATTAATTTCAGTTACAGAAGATAATTTTGCTCTCGTATACAACCTTGACATTAACAAATGAAAAGACAAAAGGTCAACTACCTGTAAACAACTTTATGCCTGAACATCAGCCAATTCTGGAGGAAGTGGAGTCTTAGGATGCTTGCTTTCAAAGTGCTGCTTGAAGGTCTTAGGGTCTGGCATTTGTGTCTAATTTTTAAAAATGTGCAAAAAAAGAGTTAGACCTTATTCATGAAATAAAAATGTGTTAACTTTTCAAATCCTGAGCCTGCTCACGATAGACAATCGTCTCAAAATACTTTGAAGTTCCTGCAACTAGTGGCTGGCATATGAAAAAGGACCTCGTAACAAAGAAATTCCTAACGTATGACCGTATTTCACATATGGAGAATAGGTGGGTTACATAAAGGATTCCGCTTGTTTAACAGGAAACAAGAGATAACATTTACTTAACACATTATGTTAAGCAGGTTACCTGAATTCTCATAGGACCTTCCCAGTAATCTTAAATTAGTTCCTACTATTATTCCTCATTTCACGTAAGAAACTAAAACCTAGAGTGTAATTTGTCCAAGACCTATTTCAACCTCATACTGTACTTCAGTTCTCAAATGTTACACTACACCAACTTCCCTAGGCAAGGACCTTCAGTAATTTATTCTCTTGCTCAGGCAGTTAAACAAAACACGAAATACAAGTTTTGGCTATTTTGGCTATTTTTGGGAGTTTAAAGAGGTGAACTACTCTAGGTCTTTTATTATTTTTTAAAACTTGATTTACTTATTTAGTGTGTGTGTGTATGTATGGGGGGGGG